CATATGGCAGTTCCTCAACACTAACACATATGGTAGTTGCTCTACACTAACACATATGGTAGTTCCTCAACACTAACATATGTGATGGTTCCTTAACACTAACAAATGTGGTAGTTTCTCAACACTAACAAATATGATAGTTCCTCAACATTAACAAATATGGTAGTTCCTCAACACTAACACATATGGTAGTTCCTCAACACTAACACATATGGTAGTTCCTCAACACTAACATATGGTAGTTCCCCGACACTAACAGATGTGGTAGTTCCTCAACACTAACATATATGGTAGTTCCTCAACACTAACACATATGGTAGTTCCTCGACACTAAAGATGATCTAGTTCCTCCACACTAACACATACGATAGTTCCTCAACATTAACTGATGTGGTAGTTTTTCAGCACTAACACATGTGTTAGTTCCTCGACACTAACAGATGTGGTAGTTACTCTACACTAACACATATGGTAGTTGCTCTTCACTAACACATATTGTAGTTCCTCAACACTAACACATATGGTAGTTCCTCAACACGAACACATATTATAATTCCTCGACACTAACAAATGTGGTAGTTTCTCAACACTAAGACATATAGTAGTTCCTCCACATTAACAAATGTGGTAGTTCCCAACACTAACACATGTGGTAGTTCCCCGACACTAACAGATGTGGTAGTTCCTCAACATTAACAGGTGTGGTAGTTCCTCAACATTGACTGATGTGGTAGTTCCTCAACCCTAACAACAGATGCAGTATTGCGGCTAGTGCCTTAAGCCTAAACTGCAGTACCTCAAGCCTGAAAAGTGTAATCGTTGATCCAAAATCGATCAAAACCCGCCATTTCCAAACACCACCATTTTCATAAAAGCTTATTATACAGGTAAGTTAGAAGTTTAAAAATCAATAAAATTAGCTTTCTCTCTATGTGCAGACAAGGGTTTGGAAATCTTTATACCAACACGTAATCGAATTTCAGAAGACGATTGTGTCATATCAAAATGACGTGTGGATTTCAAAATTAATGTTTACTTTTGATGCCAAATAAGGATTTCAATGACGTTATTAGGATAAAAACCAAGAAGTACTGTAATTGTATGTATCCAGGTCTTTTTACGTGCTTAACCTTTGGTCAGTAATGGTGAAAAGTTGGAACAGTTGAGGTTCGTATATTTCAAAAATGAAGGCCACCCTAAAGGCCAGTGGACAGTGGTTACGATGATTAGTAATCACATTAATTATTCTAAATGATGTGTAAATGTTTTAGGGTTTGGGCTAAGAATTCACTGGCACACACACTTAGCTTTATAACGTTAGTCACTACTCTTGTATATGGTTGAGCAATGTGCCAGGCGTGGTCTAGAGGTTAACATGCCGGGCTATAGACGAAATTTTCAAGGTTTTCGAGCATGAAACATGTTGCTTAACATACTGTGTGCTTTCAGCTGAGAGTGCGTTATCAGAGTGACAGTATCCTTATTCGTTCAAGAGTAACTACGTGGGTAGTGGCTGATTTCCTTTACTCTGGTCAGCAGTTAAAAGTATGAGATGGCTATGCTTGACCCCTGGCCTGACAGTTTAGCTCAAGTGTTGCCGTTCATGTTTATAGTATCAAAATTTAAATACGGTGAGGTAAGAGAATGTACAGATGTTCATGATTGAGGACGATAAGGGTTGATTATTCTGCAGTTCTTAAGTGTATATAAACGCTCATTGTTTTGACTTATTAATATAAACCAGTGAAGTACGATATACCTTACCTGGTACTTCTTCTTTCTACAACGCCTCCCACAGCATGACCGTAGAGAGTTCTCATGAGATAAAACAGAAGGCATTGGAGACAGAGGAGGCGTGGACGCAGGTCTATTAGCTTGACCATTGTAGGGAACATCTATCTCCACGAACTCCCTGTCCTGTTCGTTTTGGACGTGAAAAGGATTTTTTAGTTGAAATATGAAAAATTTTCGAGTAAACTTTAACATACTCAAAACTTTTACATTAGTGAGTAGCACATGAATCAATTTTCAAAACAGGTTTACATCCAAGTTAGTTTAAATGTTAGATATTTACTAAAATACACAAAGGACCTGGAGTACAGAGGAGTAGGCTCCTGACTTCAGTAAAGTCATATTTATCACGATGAACATCTTGTACATCAACAAAGGACCTGGAGGACAGAGGAATAGGCTCCTGACTTCAGTAAAGTCACATTTATCATGATCAACATCTTGTACATCAACAAAGGACCTGGAGGACAGAGGAATAGGCTCCTGACTTCAGTAAAGTCACATTTATCATGATCAACATCTTGTACATCAACAAAGGACCTGGAGTACAGATGAGTAGGCTTCTGACTCCAGTAAAATCACATTTATCATGATCAACATCTTGTACATCAACAGAGGACCTGGAGTACAGAGGAATAGGCTCCTGACTTCAGTAAAATCACATTTATCATGATCGAACATCTTGTACATCAACAAAGGACCTGGAGGACAGAGGAATAGGCTCCTGACTTCACTAAAGTCACATTTATCATGATGAACATCTTGTACATCAACAAAGGACCTGGAGGACAGAGGAATAGGCTCCTGACTTCAGTAAAGTCACATTTATCATGATCAACATCGTGTACATCAACAAAGGACCTGGAGTACGCCAACGCAAGTAAATTATTTGATTTTAAATAAAACGAGATTTTAGAGAAACATGAATTTTCACCAGATGCACAGGTCAGCAACTGATATATTGTACATTTTAGTTAGTAAAGAAAAATATAGTTGAAAACGTGTACGGAATAGATTTGTTTTCCGAAACTTTTTGTTATAAATTATAATATTAATTACTATTTAAAATGATGGGACCAAAACTTTATGTCCAGAAAACTTTAATGATCAAAATATAATTAATACCACAGTCACGAACTTGTAGAAACGTAACAAGTCCGAGTAAATACAAAAGAAACAAAACAGATAGAAAGGATATGTCGAATTTTTTTATTACTGGCTCTTCAAACTCCCTGTCTTGTCTCTAACTGTACCGCCGTTTTTACATTACTGAAATATATCAGGTCCATATGAATACAACACACGAAAATATAAGATATCCCAAATACACTTGGTTCTGATACACGGAATCGTAGAATAAAGATTGTGACGACAGGCACTACATAAAAACAAACAAACTCAGATTTCAGAGAAAACTGACAAAAGCAGAGAAACTATGTTTGAATTTCTACCAGAACTGGTTGTCATAGTAATCCACTATCTTTAATAAGTATTTAATAGGTTGTCAGAATATCTCAGGATCTTCATTAAGTATTTAATAGGTTGTCAGAATATCTCAGGATCTTCATAAAGTATTTAATACGTTGGCATCGTAACCCAGCATCTTCAGTAAGTATTTAATAGATTGGCATAGTAACCCAGCATTTTCAATAAGTATTTAATAGATTACCATAGTAACCCAGCATCTTCAATAAGTATTTAATAGGTTGTCATAGTAACCCAGCATCTTCAATAAGTATTTAATAGGGTATCATTATAACCCAGCATCTTCCATACGTATTTAATAAGTTAGCAATAGTAACCCAGCATCTTCAATAAGTATTTAATAGGTTGGCATAGTAATTCTTCATCTCCATTAAGTATTTAATAGGTTGGCATAGTAACCCAGCATCTTCAATAAGTATTTATGCTTCTTAATGCAAAAAAGTGTTTTGAAATATATCTGTTGGTGTTATAACACAGAGTAGTTTTATCTGTTGGTGTTTTAATACGAAGTAGTTATATCTGTTGGTGTTTTACTACGGAGTAGTTATATCTGTTGGTGTTTTAGTAGTTATATCTGTTGGTGTTTTAGTAGTTATATCTGTTGGTGTTTTAGTAGTTATATCTGTTGGTGTTTTAGTAGTTATATCTGTTGGTGTTTTAATACAGAGTAGTTATATCTGTTGGTGTTTTAATATGAAGTAGTTATATCTGTTGGTGTTTTAATACGGAGTAGTTATATCTGTTGGTGTAATAACACAGAGTAGTTATATCTGTTGGTGTTTTAATACGGAGTAGTTATATCTGTTGGTGTTTTAATACGGAGTAGTTATATCTGTTGGTGTTTTAGTAGTTATATGTATTGGTGTTTTAATATGAAGTAGTTATATCTGTTGGTGTTATCACTAAGGATGAAGTCGTTTTATCGATAGGAATCACATATAAAACGCTTACCGTAGTTTTCTCCAAACATTGAAGAAGATGATGATGTTGAAGTTCAAAAATATCTTCTGTTATATCTTCCACTTCTTCTCCAGAGTTCACAGCTTGAAGTCGAGCTTCTGTAGCTTTTTTCTGTTTAACAAACATAGCTCCACTTGTTGCTTTGGCTATTTGGATCCTCGCCATTCTTGCTTTCTGAAAAAAAACAAAACATTGGTTATTATAAATCTTTAAAAGTATATATGTAGCACGTAGAAAATGTCATTTTGACACCAGTCTTTCTGTCGATAAAACTGAACAGTGTTTGAAAATATTTTTAAAATGTCGGTTAGTGATATGTATTCGTAAGTACATATATTAATATAGAAATTGTCAGTGAAAATCAGGAAAAGTGTACCGTAACTAACATGTTAACTATACCACATCTGTTATGTCCACTGCCGACGAGGTCTTTCACCTAATACTAGGGATTTGTAGGCTGGCTGGGGATACGACAGACGCGACAGTGGTCGATATATCACCAGTCACTTGAGAACAGTTGTTACTGTGTGAACTGAATATGCTAACCACTATTTCACAATAAGCAAATGTTTCTAAGCTATGTGCTACGTTTATTAACATATTTGTATAAATCAGCAGTAACTTTAAAACAAGCATATCAAATCTCTGTAAGAAAAACTGTAGTCAAGCTTTCCACGTTAGTCGCGCGTGTAAATATAGTGATATCTTTTTACCAGATATCAAACAAAACACATCACCTGGACACTAAAAACAAAACACATCACCTGGACACTACAAACAAAACACATCACCTAGACACTACAAACAAAACACATCACCTGGACACTAAAAACAAAACACATCACCTGGACACTACAAACAAAATACATCACCTAGACACTACAAATAAAACACATCACCTGGACACTAAAAACAAAACACATCACCTGGACACTACAAACAAAACACATCACCTAGACACTACAAACAAAACACATCACCTAGACACTACAAACAAAACACATCACCTGGACACTAAAAACAAAACACATCACCTGGACACTACAAACAAAACATATCACCTAGACACTACAAACAAAACACATCACCTGGACACTAAAAACAAAACACATCACCTAGACACTAA